CAATTACCATTATGTCTTCAAGATTCATCCAGGTTGTACTATGTGCCAGAATTCCTTTAAGTCTGAATAATGTATCACTGTATGTATACACCACATTTTCTTTATCCATGCATATGTCAATTCACACTTGGGTTGCTTCCATCTTTTGGCTATTATGAATAATGCTGCCATGACCATAGGCATTCAAATACTTCTTGAGGACCTTGCCTTCAATTCTTTAGCATATGTACTCAGAAATGGAATTGTTAGAGGATATGTAATTCTACTGTAAAATTTTGTGAAACCACCACTCTTTCCATAGTGGCTGCACCACCTTACATTTCCATCAATAGTGCACACGGTTTCCAATTTCTCCACATCCTCCACAACAATTGTTATAGATAAATTTTTAATAGTGGCCACCCTAATGGGTATGAGGTGGTGTCTCATTATAATTTTGTTTTGCATTTCCTAATGATTAGGGATGTACAGTTTTTCATGTGCTTGTTGGCCAATTGTGCATCTTCTTAAGAGAACTGATTTTTAGAAAAAAACTTTTTTACTGAAATTTAACAACAGATATTAGAAAAGCATGCCAACTGACTTAATGTTTTGTTTCCAGCTTATTATAGTAGATTATGTAAGCAAATAGTTTTCATTATGTTGAGACAATTCAGAGTTCACCAAAATCATTATATTATCTCCATCATGAGTGGTATTATCATTCCACCTGGTGTCTTTTCAGGAAACAGCTATAGTTAGAGATCAGGATATATGACTCCGAATTTCCCCAAAACTTGACCCTGAAATATCTGTAAACAGTGTATCTCAGATGTGAATCCAAGGTTAATGGTAGATTTTGCCCTGAGAATTCTACTCCAAGTAACTGTATAAAACCTATCAACCAACAAAAATATAGTGAATGCTAGTTTACCACATAAATGGAAAATGTGTTGTAGGAATTTCTCATGGCAAACACATTTTGCTTTTTTTTTTTTTGCTTTCTTTCTAGCACAGAGCAACCAACCATAGTGGCTAGGTTAGATGAGGCCTGTCACTCAGCACAGAGAAGAGTGAGAGGAAAACTGTCTTTTTTGAAGGGGAATGGTAAAGAGTTTGAAAATATTCTAAGAATATTCTACAAACATAGAAGTTCTCTGTGTATTTTGTTTAGTTCTTCGTGTTTTTCCCTAGGCATTATCTGTGCCTCACTTTTCTCTAGTAGTGAGTACACCTCAAGGCAAAATGCTCTAAATATATAAATAAAATGTAAGAATAAGTTAACATACATTTCTATTAAAAAGTTGTATTATCTGTTATTTGCAAACAGTAGGAACAAAACTCCTATTTTGGGGCCTGAGACCTCTAGACCTTCTACTGAGGATGAGAGAAATGCCTAATTTTAGTGCCCCTTATCATTAATAATACATTTCTAATATGTTTTTAAGTTAATTCTGTGAAGTACAGGAAACTACATACACAGATTTTGTGACATATTCATAATTCCAGACAAGCAAACTTACAGTTTTCATCTATTGAAAAAAGAATCATAAGGGCTAAAACTGTAAAGCATTACATCCAGAAATATTTAATCAATTAACTCACTAATGAAGCTTGGCTGATGAAAATTATATACTGGGTGTTTTTAAAACAAGCTCTTTCAAGTTTTCATTTTAAGTAATAATTGCATTTCTTTTACATATTTCTTTGTAATTAGTATATTTAAAATGTAGTCTGGATTTTCAGTCAAATACTATATAATTTACTTCTACTTCTTTGCAGTAATTCCCTAATAAAATGATTAATGGTAACAGCATAATGATTAATAATAATACATTATACTTTATAGCTTCTAGGAGATACAAGTAATTAACAGATTTCATTGCCTTCATCAGTTCTATGAGGCAGACAGAGAGAATATTATTCTTTTTATGGGAATTTAGAATACATCAGAGGTTAAGGCCGTATCAAATAATATTTACATATTTCCTATGTCCATGGATATGACAGGAGTTCATAAATGTGGGGAATATTTATTCATACAAATATTTCATTTATGTGCCTACTACAAACCAATGTAATCTGTCAAAAAGAGAAAAGTTTATAGCTTCCCAGACTGGTTACTGCCAATGATTACCAACTTTTATCATTACTTTGCTTAATTTTACTAAATTCCAGGAATGTACTCAAAGAAAACAATAGTTGCATGAAAGAATTTAAAGTGATATCAATTTATTGTGACTTGAAAATTTTCTTTTACTTAAGTTTCAGAGTTTGAAAATTACTGGTGTAGTTAAACAATATGCAATGGGAGAATTGCCTTGGAAATATGTAGTAACATCTGACTCAAGAGCCACCCTTCTATAGCTTAGGACAAAATTGGGTCTGGATCTGAATTTCCTAAAGTCTAGGCTTGAGTGCTTTCTACTCTAAGTTTGTGAAACATACAAGTGTAGCTTTATAGTGCCGCCTTATATCAGTATATGCTGCAAAGTAATATAGTTGTGAAAATCCATTTAAAAGACAGTTTAAAAGAACTGCAGTCATTGACTATAAATGCATTCACGCTGTAAGTTTAAAAATAAGACCTATTCTTTTGCTGTGCAAAAGGTTATTATTTTGGCATAGTCCCAATAATTTATTTTTGCTTTTGTTTCCCTTGCTTGAGGAGACATATCCATAAATATTGCTAAGACTGATGTCAGATTACAGCCTATGTTTTCTTCTAGTTATTTTATGGTTTCAGGTTTCACATTTAGGTCTTTAATCCATTTTGAGTTTACTGTGTGTGGTGTATGAAAGTGGTCCGGTTTCATTCTTTTGCATGTAGCTGTCTAGTTTTCCCAACACCATTCATTGAAGAGACTCTTTTCCCCATTGTATATTCTTGCCTCCTTTGTCATACGTTAATCGACCATAAAGCATGGGTTTATTTCTGGACTCTATTCTGTTCCACTGTCCTATGTACCTATTTTTGTGCCATACTCTTGTGATTACTACAGCTTTGTAATATACTTTGAAATCTGGGATTGTGATACCTTCAGCTATGTTCCTTTTTCTCAAGACTGTTTTGACTCTTAGAAGTCTTTTGTGATTCCATATAAATTTTAGGATTATTTGTTCTAGTTCTGTAAAAATGCAGTTGGTATTTTGACAGGGATTGCAATGAATCTATAGATTGCTTTGGATAGTATGGACATTTTAATGGTATTAATTCTTTTATTCCATGAGCATGATATAACTTTCTGTTTATCTATGTCCTCTTTGATTTCTTTCATCATTGTCTCAGTTTTCAGAGTACAGGTCTTTCATCTCCTTGGTTAAATTTATTTTAAGGTCTTTTATTTTTATTTTTTTGATGCAACTGTAAATGGAATTGTTTTCTTCTCTTTCTGCTACTTTGTTATTAGTGTATAAAAATGCAATAGATTTCAGCATATTAATTTTGTATGCTGCAGCTTTACTGAATTCATTTATCAGTTTTAATAGTTTTTTGGAGTCTTTAGGGTTTCTATATATAGTATCATGTTATCTGCAAATAATTACCAATTTGGATGCCTTTTAATTCCTTTTCTTGTCTGACTGCTGCAATTAGGATTCCTAGTACTGTGTTGAATAAAAGTACTGAGAATGGACATCCTTGTCCTGTTCCTGATCTTAGAGGAAAAGCTTTCAGTTTTCACCACTGACTATGATATTACCTCTGGGTTTTTCACATGTAGACTTTATTAGTTTGAGGTATGTTTCCTCCTAAACCCACTTTGTTTAAAGTTTTTATCACAAACGAATGCATTCTGTCAAATGTTTTTTCTGCATCTATTGAAATAATCATATGGTTTTTATCCTTCTTCTTGTGAATGTGATGTATCACAAGGAATAGTTTATGAATATTGAACCATGCTTCCATCCCTGGGATAAAAACTTTTGTACAGCAAAGGAAACCATCAACAAGATAAAAAGGCAATCTAGTGAATGGGGGCAGATATCTGCAAATGATACACCTGATAAAGGGTTAACATCCAAGATATAAAAAGAATTTACACAACGCAATACCAAAAACCAATCTGAAGTTAAAAAAAAATGGGCAGAGCGCCTAAACAGACATTTTTCCAAAGAAGACATCCAGACAACTCAATGCCAAAATCCAATCTGAAGTTAAAAAAAAAATGGGCAGAGCATCTAAACAGACATTTTTCCAAACAAGACATCCAGATGGTCAACAGACACATGAAAAGATGCTCAATATCAATAATCATCAGGGAAATGCAAATCAAAACCACAATGAAATAGCTCCTCACACCTGTGAGAATGGCTAGTATCAAAAAAATAAGATATAACAAGTGTTGATGAAGACATGGAGAAAAGAAAACCATTGTGCACTGTTGGTGGGAATGTAAACTGGTGCAGCCCACTATGAAAAACATGGAGGTTCCTCAAAAAACTAAAATAGTTGATCCAGTTATTCCTCTACAAGGTAATTACCCCAAGAAAACCAAAACACCAATTTGAAAAGATAGATACATATACGCATATGTTTACTGCAGTATTATTTACAATAGTCAAGATATGGAAGCAACCCAAGTGTCCAAAATAGATGATTAGATGAAGATATGGCATATAGATGACAATGGAATACTACTCAGACATAAAAAAAATGAGATCTTGCCTTTTGTGACAACATGGGTGGACCTCATGGGTATTATACTAAGTGATATGAGTCAGAGAAAGACAAATACCATATGATTTCACTTATATGTAGAATTTAAAAACCAACAAGTGAACACACTAGCAAAAAAAACCAGATTCTTAAATACAGAGAACAGACTGGTGGTTGCCTGAGGGGAGGCTGGCTGGGGGATGGAGGAAATAGGTAAATGGGATTAAAAGGTATAAACTTCCAGTTATAAAATAGTAAGTCACACAGATGAAATGTATAGCATAGGTAATATAATCAATAATAAAAAGAGGTCTCATTATGAAATTGTATTTTATGTTCTTATGGTATATAAAGGATGACATACCTGCCCCAGGCTGCCTCATTCGTAGATGCTTTATTAACTGGAACACAGGAGGAGTCAATGACAGTTGATTTGTTCATCTTGTAGCAGAAACCACAGTCTGGATCCAACATACATTCATTACAGTAACTGTAAAATAAAGAGTTATATCACGTTAAAGACAACTGATGTTCTTCTACATTTTCCATTACACTTTGCAGGAAGCTTGGGGCCACGGCACTCATGTTAGCCATGGCAAAGGGACATGTGCTGAGGCTGCTGGGAGGTGGTAGGTTCTCCCCACCTGTCTCTCCCCTGGCTACAGCAACTGCAGAAGCCACTTTGAGATGGAGGGATGCTTGGATCTGAGACACTGGGTGTAAAAGATCCCCAGCTGTCCCTCAGCAAATCAACGTTTGCTTTTCTAAGCCACTGAGATTTGTTACCAAAGCATGGACTGGCCCAATGTGACCCAGTGGAGTTGTTCCAAATTGTACCAAAGCATTTATTTCTCTTAACTGTCTCCATTCCGTATCCTATCTTCTAAAAGTGGAAAACATATTTCCCAATATATATACTGAAATAGAAAATTCAGAGAATGAAAAACATTACATCTGAAGAAAAAAGTTAAAAACAAAAATATCACCACCCCAATAATGGTCAATGTTAACATCTTGAGAGGACATCTGTACTCTTAACAAATCTACACAGAGTACCAACTATATGCTAGGCTTAATTTAAAATAAGTTGGTATGGGAAAAAAGGCTAACTTTCTCTAAGTTAATTGCATCTACTGGTTGGATCACAGAGCCATAATCAATTAATCATTGCTCACATAACAGCAGTGTCCTAACTGCAGAAAACTCTAAAGGGGCAAAATCCTTTAGAGGGCAGGGTTTTCCAACCTAAGTCTACAAAGTACTTGTACATGTGTTTTCTTGCTGTCAAATTCATTTGCCAGACAATTCTGGAGTACCTCAAACATGGCAGGCACACACAGGGCACTGCAGACACTAAGATGAATAGGACAAAGTCCCTGCTCCTGGGTAGATAAAAGGCAAGGACAGGAACAGATATACAAATAAATAAATGGCAGTGTAATAGAAATTAGTGTGAGCTACTCTCTAAGGACAGAGGCCTGTTCATTTGCCTGTAAGAGCTGGGGATACTTTGGGAGGAGATACTTGACATAGATCATAAAAGAAATTTACCATGCAAAGAGGTAGAAGGCAGGGCATTTCAGAGGACTGCTTATTCTACAATTAAAGATCAGTCAGTACAGACTTATTATTGACTGTGTACAAGTAATTATATGACGGGGTGTGGGGGAGAAAAAGGGTAAGTACGACTGTTAGGCATCCAAAAATGAGGTGAATCCTCAAAATCAAAATACTTCTTTGATTAATTTAGCTAACTGGGAAAACACTGGCATTGTTTAAAAACAAGATTATCATTTCAGCCTCCTTCTGTAAACATTTCCTTTGCAAACAGCCATCCTTAATTTTAAATGAGACTTCAGACCCCTTGAGGCATAGCTTGGAGATATTGAGGATTCAGTTCCAGACCACTGCAATAAAGCAAATACCATAATAAATGAGTTTTTTGGTTTCCTGGTCATATAAAAGTCATGTTTACTCTATACTGTAGTCTACTGTGGGTGCTACAGCATTTTATCTAAAAAAAAAATACCAATGTACATATCTTAATTTAAAAATACATTATTGCTAAAAAATGCTACCATCACCTGAGCTTTTAGCAAGTCAAATCACTGATCATAGATCACCATAACAAATCTAATAATAATGAAAAAGTTTGAAATATTATGAGATTTACCAAAACGTGACAGATACGAAGTGAGCAAATGCTGTTGGAAAAATAGTGCCGACAGACTTGCTTGATGCGCGGTTGCTGCAAACCTTCAATTTGTAAAAGACACACTATTCTGTGAAATGCAATAAAGTGAAGCACAGGAAAACGAGGTATGCCTGTACTAAAAGCAAAAGAGAGGGCTTTGAAAGCCTACTGAAAGGTCATATACTTTAGAGAGGTGATGCAGCGTTGCAAATATAAAAGGGTCCACACCTGTGATAAGCAAAAGAAACAGAACAACAGGAAGCTTTAGAGATACTTTAAGCTTCCAGCTTTCACAACTAGACAGGGCTCATCTGGAAAGGAAGGGAATTCCTGCTAGCACTCTGTTGGTTTCTTCCACCCATGTGAGGTAGAATCTAACAACCCCGATTTTTCCAATGGCTTTAAATGATACTTATTTAGGAAAGGTCAACTCATCCAATGGTAGAGAAATGACTCTATTTCTTCAAAAATAAGTAATTCCTATAACAGGCCAAAAAAAGTAATGATGAAGGCTAACAGTTACCGAGAACCTACCACACGAGCATGTCAGACATCACAAGGTGTCACTGATGATGCTTTGCCTCCTCCATCCCTCATTCCGTCATCTGACTCTGACCACAACCTCCCGTTCTTCCAGCTTGCTTATAAATGATCCCAGCTCTGCCCTGGTGATTCGTTCAATACAAATATGTGCCAGGCACTATTCTGGGGGTTGGGCCACATTAGTAAACAGAACAGATTCCCTGCCCTCGTGGAGCTGTCTGTCAGACCTCCTGGTGACTCTGGTTCATTGACCCCTCTACTTGCTCCCTATTCATTAGTTTTTTACTTTCTTTGGTTCATCCTTATCTAGCTCATGGACCATGGCCTATCATTTCAACATCCTAAATTTCCTTGCCCATTTCTTTCCATCTCACCCGAATAGCAAAAATCCTAGCCATATGTGAATGTCAACGTTTGCCTTTTCTATGCCTTCCCCACAGACCTGAATGCAGCTGAGGGAATCACACAACAGGGCAGCTCAGTAGTTCTCTAGAATACATTGCTACCAGCCTCCAAAGGATCCTCAATGGCCTGATATTCCTCATAATTTTCTGTAGTCAACTTCACACAAGGACTTTTCAACCACATTACATGGGGACTATTCTTCAAATCTCCAATGCTCTGTCCTTTTGGTCACTTCATATCCAGCTTCACCTCAAGTCTATCTTCACATGGAAAACAGATGAAAGTGGTAAAGATGGTAACTTTATAATCTTACAGCAAACATAGAAATAATCATACTTTTCTCTGCTCCAGTAACAAAGAGAAATTGTTTTTCTTCTCTATCTGGGCTTTCCTTCCATTCCATCTCCTTAGCCCATTTCAAACCCTTTTGATTACTGCTCCTTATTTCTCTTAACGTCTGTTGTCTTAAGGTGGAAGATTAGCTTTTTGATTTGGTGTCTTTCTTCCTTTTTACTGTAGAAAGTTGTAACTTTGACCACTGCTGTACTTACATCCCACATTTGGTATGTCTGGTCTTCATTTTCATTCATCTCAAAGAATTTTCTAATTTTCCTTGTGACTCCTTTGACCCACTGGATTAAGAAGTGTTATTTAATTTTCACATATTCATGAATTTCCCAATTTTTTTTGTTAGTGATTTTTAGTTTCACTCCACTGTTATCAGAAAACACATACTTCGTATGATTTCAGACCTTTTAAAATTTTTGAGGCTTATTTTGTGGCCTGGCATATGATCTATCCTGGAGAAACTTCCTTGTGCATTTAAGGAGTTGTATATTCTGTTGGTAGCAAAGTATTCTTGAAATGTCTGTTAGATCTGGATGATTTGTAGTCAATACACTAATTTTCTTTTGGGAGGGGATGTTTTAGATCCTCTTTATTCTTTTTTTTTTAATTTAAATTTTAGTTAACATACTGTGCAGTATTGGTTTTAGGAGAATTCAGTAATTCACTTAAATACAACACCAAGTGCTCATCACAAGTGCCTCCTTAATACCCATCAGCCACCTAGCCCATCCCTCACCCACCTCCCTCCATCAACCCTTAGTTTGTTCTCTATTTTTAAGAGTCTCTTATGGTTTGTTTCCCTCTCCCCCACCATATGTTCATCAATTTTCTTTCTTTTTTAAAAACTTATTTATTTATGTATTTATGGACAGCACAAGTGGGAGGGGCAGAGGGAGAGAGAGAATCTCAAGCAGACTCCATGCTGAGTGTGGAGCATGACACAGGGCTCGATCCCAGGACCCCTGAGATCATGACCTGAGCCAAAACCAAGAATCAGATGTTTAACGGCCTGCACCCCATCTATTTTCTTTCTTAAATTCTACATGAGTGAGATCATATGGTATTTGTCTTTCTCTGACTTATTTCACTTAGCATAATACACTCTAGCTCCACCTACATCATTGTGAATGATAAGATTTCATTCTTTTTGATGGCTGAGTAATATTCCATTACATATATATACATACATATGTATGTATGTGTGTGTATATGTGTATGTATGTATGTGTGTATATACATATATACATATATACACATATATACACACATACATAGATACACATATACATACACATACATACATACACATATACATACACACACATACATATATATACATATGTACATATGTATATATATATACATATATATACATATATACACACACACACATACATACATAGATACACACATACACCACATTTCCGTATCTTTATCCATTCATCAGTTGATGGACATTTGGGCACTCTCCATAGTTTGGCTATTGTTGAAAATGCTGCTATGAACATTGGGGTGCATGTACCGCTTTGAATATGTATTTTTGTATCCTTTGGGTAAATACCTAGTAGTGCAATTACTGGATCGAAAGGTAGTTCTATTTTTAACTTCCTGAGAAACCTCCATACTGTTTTCCACAGGGGCTGCACAAGTTTGTACGCCCACCAGCAGTATAAGAGGGTTCCTCTTTCTCCTCATCCTCACCAACATCTGTTGTTTCCCGTGTTGTTAATTTTGGCCATTCTGACAGGTGTGAGGTGGTATCTCATCATGGTTTTGATTTGTATTTCCCTGATGATGAGTGATGTTGAGCATCATTTCATGTATCTTTTAGCCATCTGGACGTCTTCTTTGGAAAAGTGTCTGTTCATGTGTTTTGCCCATTGGTTAACTGGATTATTTGTTTTTTTGGGTGTTGAGTTTGAAAAGTTCTTTATAGATTTTGGAAACTAACGCTTTATCAGATATATTGTTTGCAAATATGTTCTTCCATTCCATAGGCT